CATTGGTATCCCTTAGATGATTGGAGGTGACCCTTGAGGGGAACAGTGTTTTAAGAAGGCCCACTGTAAATCAGGGTTCAGGTATACTTTCTTTTTAACTTCTCACTACCTGTTTGGCGCAGGGTTGTTCCTTTTTTAGCGCTTGATTGGTTACACTCTACCTAAATCATGTGATGTATAAAAATCATCATTGTATGGGTCCTCTTAGCGGACACATTCGGAGAACCAGGTGTGACATACTAGAAAATTGAAAAAAGGGCCTCAGTCATGAAGGGGTTAATTTATTATTATTATTATTAGGGATGCACCGAAAATTTCGGCCTCCGAAACATATCGGCTGATAATGGCACTTTTGGCAAAATGCGGAACGTGCCATCTTTTGGCCGAAATAGCAGCGCATCCTTGCTTTCTCTCCTCCTCGCTGGGCGCTGCTCTGTGTCCCAGCAGGGAAGAGAGAAACTGTCACAGGAGGCCGAGCGCTGCGTGGGAAGAGAGCGATGTGAGCGGCCGGCATCTCTCCTCCCGCCTCGCTCAGCCTCCTGTGACAAATCAAGAGAGCGGCAGTGCGGGGGAGGAGTCAGCTGTCAGAGGAGATCAAGCTCCTTGTGCAGCTTTTCCTGCTCCCACCCTAAGCCCTGCTAACAGTCTACAGTCAGACAAACAGTCACCACTCTCTGTAAGGACAAGCCGTGAGCTGAGTGCTCAGCGGTTTGTGATCACTTATTTCTCAGACTATAGAGCCGGCGTGTGACAGCTGCAGTAGTATCACACGCCGCCTCCAACTATTGGGAAGAGTACATTTTACTCTCCTAACAGTTCTCCTTTATTTTGTGCCTGTTATACCTGCCTGGCGTTCACCTTTAAATGCATTTCAAAAGAACTTACTTGTGTCTTTGTCCTCAGAAACAAAACTGTTTGTCATATCCCCAAATATGATGGTCATGAGAGGGAGGGCAGCTCCATGGGCAACTGCGGCGATCGTCCCAACCAGCATCAACAGCCTGTCCAGAGGCTCGGAGTACCGGAACTGAGGAGAAATACAGCAAACATACCAACAACAGTAACTCACAGCAGGCAGATATCACCTAGAATCAGACAAGAGCAATCCAAACTAAATTGGTTTTACTGGTCTATTGCCATAACAACCATTATTTTCAGCAAGGAGAGTCAATGAGAGCTGAAAATAATGGTCATTATGGCAAAATTATAGTGAATTGAGACTTTTGATGGAATTTCGTGTGGCATAAAGATCATTTTAAGTGTCAGTCCACCTAATACTTATATCTCATTGTTTTCAAGATGCTGGTGCATTAAACCAGTTTATACTTTCTTATATCTTTCATTGGCTATATTGATGAGATTCCTGCAGTCCATGATCAATTCATTTTGCTTTTTTTTCCTTAACATCTTGTCTTGAATTGTATAGTAATTGTAATGTCTTCCTTACTTTGTAAAGCGCTGCGCAAACTGTTGGCGCTATAAAAAATCGTGTTTAATAATAATAATAATACTAGGTGCCTTATCAAAAAAAATTCTCATTGCACATAGCGACCAATCAGGAGCCTTGGAAATAAAACAAATGATGGCTAGAAACGAATTACTTGCTATGGGCAACAAAAGTGTTTTTCATTTTTTTGCTTTTATACATAAGTAACTTGTTGATCTTGTCACCCCTTTATTAACATGCTCCTGGATGCTTTTAATCTTGAGCCTCAAAATGATGCCTGTGGTCCTTACCATTGTGAGCGGCCCCACCGTTTTGGCTTTTTTTTTTTCCTTGGACTTGGTAAAAAGGTTTTTCTTCCTTCTACAAAAAAGAAAGTTTTGCGTTTTTTTAAAATAAACTTCAAAAAGCATTTTTCTTTCCTGATTATTGACATATTAAAGTGGAATTAAACTCTATAAAAAATTGCTAGGACTAGAGCCAGGACCTTGCATGTCTTTTCTTGCTCCTAGAAATGTTTATCTTACTGTATACTGTAGTGCAAATGTATGTCATCAGTCACATGCTGAAAACGGAGCAGGCACAATAAACTGCAGCACGCATGTGCAACAGTTACATCATCAGCGGTGGGAGGGAGAAGGCACCACATCCGAAAAAAGTGGAGAAGATGGCAGCAGGGGATGGAGCAGTGGCCAAGGAGCTGTCAGCAGTGAAGGAGGGAAAACCTAGAGGTAAGTCTGCCATCATGTGCAAGTACTGTAGGGGTAAAGGACGGTTATAACCCCTGTCAGCTTTTTCTGCCCTTTTGCATCCCATCGGTGAGATTTCCTCTCACTTGTTTTATAGCCGCAACAGAAAGCAAGAGGAATTCCTCCAGCGTGAAGAAAATTGCTGATGGTCAGCAGGGTCACCAGGACTAGTATCCTTATTGGGATATTTCCCATGTATTCCTGTTCTGGTGACAACTAGGACAAAAAGAGAGGGTAAATATCTCTAACGGGGACACAGACTGCAAAAAAACTGACAGGTGTCCTAATCCCTCTCCAATCTATCCAAAACTAAGAGAACATTTTTGGTTTCAGTTGCACTTGCCGGCCGCCCGTTGCAAAAAAACGGACGGACGGCGGACTCACATTGGCGGGTTGCCGTTACTAGATGGCAATTTTTTTCTGCTTGCGCGCACACGGGCAGAGAGGACCTATCCTATGTAAAGAGCCGTTACCGGCTGTTTCACATATACATGATTGGCGGCTCTATAGCCTGCCGATCGTGTGTATGTGCTGGCTGCATGACCCCCTGCGCCCCCTCGAGTGCCGCCGCCGCCCCCCCCTCCTAAACCCTCACCTTCAATCCCGGGATCCGCTGCCCCATCTGCGGCCCGGGACTGGGGAGGGTGTCAGGAGGTAAGATGGGAGGGAGATCAGCATCTTCCTCCTTGCTGAGCTCCCTCCGTGCTGTGAATGCGGAAGTAATGTGTAAATACATCACTTCCACATTCACCTGTCAGTCATCTGGCTGCTATTGCCAGAGAGAAGAAGCTGATGAAACAGATCTCTGCTTCATCAGCTTCTTTTGGGGTCCCCAGGTGACATTAGGGGTCTTAGAGACCCATAATGTCTCCATAAAGAGGACCTGTCAGTGACATTAAGTGTAAAAAAAACATAAAAAGAGTTTAAAAAAAATAAGTTACATATCGCCACGAACGTCGCAGTGAGAGCAATCCTTTTAGGGCCATCAATCACTGATGACACTGAACTGATGAGCATTAAGCGCTTTTAAAGCCAATTTTGGGTATTATAGTTTTTTAAGGTTTCGTGCGCACGCAATTCTAAGGCTTGACATATTTTGTGTCTTTTTACCTGACGTGACCCCGTCTTTTATATTTTACCAAAAAATTGGGTAATAATAAATGTTTTATCACTTAATATAGGGGAAACAGTTTTAAAAAAAAATTTCGGTAATTTTTCCTTAATATAGTAAAAATCTGTCCCCAAAAAATTGTATAAAATTAATTTCAGTACAGCGTTGCATGGCGGAATAAATGTCAGTCAAAGTACCGCAGCGCTTAATACTGAAAAATTGCCTGGATGGGAAGGTGGTTTAATACCGCGGAGATCAAGTGGTTAACCCTTCCACATACCAGCAATGTATGCCTTATGGAGCTGGCAGCCAGCCCTTGTAAACAGATAGCCACCGGGAGTCTGCTTACCTGTGTAAAGCCGACTTTACACAGGTAAGGCTTTATGCTGGAAGCGATTCTGGTGGCTGAGCTGCTGCCAGATAACTTCCAGGGACCAGTAAAGCTTCCCCCCCCCCACCCAACACCCCCTGCCTTGCTTCCCAGGCTCTGCGGCCCCTCCTGCGGACCTGGGACTGGCTTCTTGGGTGTTGACTTGTAGGCGGGGTTCACTCTCGGGGTGTTGCGTGTGTGTGTTCCCTCTTGGGTTGGCTGAGTAACCCCGTGTATGCAACTTGAAACCAGACACCCCACGGTCAGGGGCCACGGCCTTGTGCCAACACTCCCACACGTGTAGTACTACGTACACAGGGCCTCATGGCTTCACCCGCCTCTGCGGCCTTCGGCGCTTCCTCCCCCCCAAGGAGAAAGGCCACCATGAACGGCACCCTGTGTCAGGCATAGCCCCATTGCGCACCTACCCTTCTCAGATGGTTACAGCCACGTTACAGTCCACATCATACTTCGGTAGAACCCCACCTTCTCAGAGGTTGGAGGGAGAAGAACCAGTCCACTCAGATAGTCTTTTTGTTGATTTTACTTGAAGATATTAACAGCACAAAGTATACTTTTCAGCCACCCCCGAATGGGGTGACGGCACATCACTTGTTACTTGCATGGCGATACAATTTAGAGAGAGAGGTACATCAGCCCAGGTGCAGCCCAGAGTCACGACTTACTTCGGCCATAGGCCCACTGGCGAATATCGTCAGCCTTCTAGCACTTCACTATTCTCTGGAATCCCATCCTTTGTCAGTCCTAGCACGGTGGGTTTCCCCCTGTGGGGAAACTAGGGAATCTTTGTAGCTCTACATAGTCCTAGGCCTGGTCCTGTCCTTCCCATGGACCAGCCTATGTTAAGAAACAGTCTCCCTCCAGAGACTCTGCAGCCAGTCTTAGACTTCTGCTCTCCTGTACTCTCTGCCTCCTCCCCCCTCTCGGGCGCCCCCTATATATCAACTCTCCTGGGACACAGAGTTTCCCCAGGCCAGAGCTGCATCTATCTCCAGGGCCCCATGGGGGCATCTAGTGGCCGTTGGCCATACTGCACCTACCTACAGACTGGTACCAGGGAGAGAGACCAGCGAACATCCATTCGCTGATCTCCTCCCTGCTGAATGAAACCGGAAGCGACGCTAATTGCATCACTTCTGACTTCTCAGCTGATGAAACTGATGAAGCCCTGATTCATGCTCTCCTTGAACAGCTTCTTTGAAGTGCAAAGGGGAGATTAGGGGTCTAATAGACCCCCTAATGTCACCTTTAAAAGAACCGGTCACCTCTAATGAGCTATAACAAAGGGGGCTCGTGTAAAAAATAAAGTCAAATAAGATACATTTAAAAATACCCTCACAAAATGCTAAAGTCCCAATCCCTGCACAACCACATCTTTTATATTTTACAAAAAAATTGGGTCTGATAAACAGTGGCGCTAATATCATGTGGCATAGAAATTTGCCATGGCCACCTTTTTTTATACAGGGTCTTTGCTCTCAGGAAATATATGACTCTTGGGGGTTTTAACAAATTTTCAGGCCTAAAATGTGGATTGTGCAAAAAAAAAAGCAAAACCTGATTAAAGGAGAACTATGAGGTGAGTGATTTTCACTCAAATCATAGTTCTAACCGACCTGTGACAATGAGACTGTCACAGGTCGGCTCAGTAGATCGGGAAGTGAGCGAACACATACCAGGTTCCCTCACTTCTCGATCCTGTCACGGCTCTCTGCTGTGACAGGGAAGGGACTGGATTCCCCCCTCCCCACTCAGATCCTCCAGCGCTGATTGGCGGAACCAACGCCATCTGTGCTGGGCGACTCCGTGTCCTCTAGATAGGCAGATAGGCAGAGCCAGCTGTCACTCACGCAGCTGGGCGGATCCAGACATAATTGTCGGGATCCGCTTCAGCTGCGGCGTCTCAGTATACCGTGAGCTGTAGCTCGCGGTATACTGAGCTTAGGGTGGGAGGAGGCTAGTTTGTGTCCTCCCGTTACCCTAAGAAGAACTATGGGAAAAAACGCCCTAACCCCATAGTTCTCCTTTAAGGACAGAAAAAAAATCACCTTTTTAATTCGAGATCTTCAATGGTAACGGCTTCTTCTTTTGGCCCATTGACTCGACTTTTCTTATTGACGACATTCATGTTCTGCTCACCTGCCATCTCTTCAGCACCTACAAAATGCAAATGTCTCAATCATGCAGAAATGAGGAAACAAGCAACACCTCCCTGAGCCATACCTCTCTCTAAGATGACAAGAGGGACACAAAGGGGTTGATTTATAAAACCTCTGCCCAGCCATACGCTGGGCAAATGCTGCTCACACTGCATTCCCATCACTAGATGGAGCCAAGGAGCTTGCATGGCATTCCTACCACTAGATGGAGCCAAGGAGCATGACATTCCTTTCCATACATACTGTACTTTGGGGTTGATTTCTAAAACTTCCGCCCAGTCATATGTTGCACGGCATTCCTGCCACTAGATGGAGCCGAGGAGCAACTGCAATTCCTACTTCAGGGGTAGGCAACATAATTTATTCAGCTGTTGTGGAACTACAAATCCCATGAGGCATTGCAAGACTCTGATAGCCACAGGCTTGACTCCCAGAGGCAGAGGCAAGATGAGATTCGTAGTTTCATCACAGCAGGATTGCCAAGGTTGCCTACACCTGTCCTATTTCCAAGGCTACATGGGAGCTTTACCTGTAAAATCACCTTGCTCTGCCCAAACATGGGGCACATTATGCTGATTTTGCAGAGTTCTTTGGTAGCCCAGCACAAAGCAGAGACAACCATCTTATTTACCTTCCACACCTTCACATTTATATAATGACGAGGGAAAGGGATAATCTGATTGGCTGTTTAGGCAACCCAAAGTATCATAGACAGTCCTTACTTTGGACACATTGATAAACAGGTTCTGCCTCTGGATTTGTCCCGAGTACATACATACTGTAAGGGGAATTTATCAAAAGTGGAGCAGACAGAATTTGGAGCAGTTGCCACTAGTAACCAATCAGCATCTCTCTTTCCTTTACAAAACTTCACTGAACACACTGAAGAGAGAAGCTGGTTGGTTGCCATGGAAAGCTGCTCCAGATTCTG